CCTGAGGAACCTGATGTGTTTACTGACTCTTCTAGAAAACATCGTTTCTAGTCCACTGTCTTAAGTCAATGGTTCTCAACCTGTGGGTCGGGGCCCTTTCGCAGGGGTCACATATCAAATACCCTACATATCAGACATATTATGATTTATAACTAGGAAAATTACAGTTATGAAGTAGCAACAACATAATCTGGTGGTTGAGGGTCACTGCGCGTGAGGAACTGTATTAAAGGGTCGCAGCATAGGCGGGTTGAGAACCACTGAGCCACATGGCGATTGTAGGGATGGAAGAGGCGGCTTCGTGGGCAAGAGCACTGGCTCCTCTTGTGTTGGATCTGGGTTCGACTCCCAGCATCCACATGGTAGCTCACAGCCTCCAGACTACTGACACAAGGTGCCCAATTGATAGAATCGTAATCTTTCTAAAATTATGTTAGTTATTGTGTATACAACATGTATCCTGCAGGCTGGAAGATGGCACCAGATCTCATACAGATGGTTGTAAGCCACCATGTGGTTGCTGGGAATTGAACTCAGGACCTCTAGAAGAGCAGTCAGTGCTCTTAACCTCTGAGCCATCTCTCCAGCCTTAAATTATTTTTAAATATTTATTTTTTTTGTTTTTGTTTTTTTTAAATTTATTATGTATACAGTATTCTCAGTATTCTGTCTACATGTATGTCTGCAGGCCAGAAGAGGGCACCAGATCTCATTACAGATGGTTGTGAGCCACCATGTGGTTGCCGGAAATTGAACTCAGGACCTTTGGAAGAGCAGGCAGTTCTTAACTGCTGAGACATCTCTCCAGCCCTCCAGCCTTAAAATTATGCTTTGAAAAATCCAAATGCCACCAGGCAGTGGTGGTTCACGCTTTTAATCCCTGCACTCAAAAGGCAGAGGCAGGAACTCTGAGTTCCAGGACAGCTAGGACTATACAGAAAAACCCTGTCTCAAAAAACCAACAAAGATCCGGGCGGTGGTGGCGCATGCCTTTAATCCCAGCACTTGGGAGGCAAAGGCAGGTGGATCCCTGTGAGTTCGAGACCAGCCTGGTCTACAAGAGCTAGTTCCAGGACAGGCTCCAAAACCACAGAGAAATCCTGTCTCGAAAAACAAAAACAAACAAACAAACAAAAACAACAACAAAGATGGCTCAGCAGTTAAAAGCACATACTGTTCTTGCAGAGTACCCAGACTTTGAAACTAGCGTCTGTGGCAGGTGGCCTCTATCTCTAGTCCCAGTAGATCCAACACCCTTTGATGGCATCCACACATATACTTAAAAGTAACTATTAAAAGTGCTATTAAAGGAAATGGCTTCTCAAGGTTGAATTTATTTTGAGATGGCGTCTCCTTATTGCATAGCTGTGGCTGTCCTAGAACTCACTCTGTAGACCAGGCTGGCCTCAAACTCGCAGAGATCCGCCTGCCTCTGCCTTCTGAGTGCGGGGATTAAAGGTGTGCACCACCACTACCCAATAATGTTAACTTTTCAGGCCTGGAAGAAGTTGTGGGTTTCCTTCCTTGGGTCTTCATGCAGCTGGTGAAAAAAGTCACTTTGACTGCAGCAGCCCTGTGGAGAAGCTACTGTGAACTGACTCTGGCCAACCCAGGAATGCCGTGGTGTGAGAACACCCTCCCAAGCAGGAGGGAAGCCCAACAAACACTGGCTTTGTTTCTCCTACCAAGTTTCCCCTTTAGATTCCACTCCTCAGCTCCCCTGCCCAACCGGCTTAACCTTTCATTTACCCAGCTGTAGGCGCCTCTGGGTCCCTGGAAGATGAAAAGGACATGGAGACAACGGGAAGGTCCAGATGGAGTGGTCCTCAGCCGGCTCACATCCTCCTTTCAGGCCCTGCAGCTTGGACACCCCAGCACCAGCCAGGTCAGAAAGCAAGATGCTTGCTCTTGCTCATAGTGTGCCAGTGGAACCTGGGAACGCCCAGACTGGGACCCGAGTGAACAGGTGTAGGGGCGTAGAAAGGGGCAGCCCATTTGCTGGGGAGGACCTTGCTGTCTCGTTCTAAGCAATTCATTTCCAGAGAGGGGAGCGCTATTTCCCATGGGTGCAGATAGAGTTAAGCAGCAGCAGGAGGGCTCTCCCTGCCCAAAACAGGATGGATTTGGGCAGGTGACATAAAGCTTTCTTTTTCTTGGCGTTCAGTCTCAGCGGTCCCTTACGGAAAGCTGGGGAGTCTCTCCTTTCCCCCCCACAGCTCAAGGGCACTGTGGGGAAGGAGGTGAACCAGGAACCCAGGAGCTCAGAGATGAGGGCAGGGTGAAGGCAGTGAATGGCGGGTTCTTGGAAAGAGGCCAAACAGGAAATTTCATCTCTCCAGATCAGCTGCCTTGGAGTCAGGGTGGAATTTGAGCCTCCCTGGAGTAGAGGCCTTGGGGAGTGTAAGGGCTGCTGGAGTCTGTAGACAGACTCAGCTGAACAGTCGGCTTCCCGACTGCCCGCCTCCGCCTCAGGCTACCTGGTAGGAGGACAGGTGCCAAAAGGCTCCTTCACACGCAAACCTCAAGGCTTTGAACACTCATCTCAGGTTGTGTGCATATCTGTCAGAGAAGAGGGGAGCAGCTCATCACCCCGAAGACTAAGTGCCCAGACTGAGGCTCCACCCTAAAAGGAGAGATAGTAATCCTGCAGATGCCCAGCCCCCTCTGCCTTCTGCAGCGCAGCGGGCTAGCCCTCCCGTAGCACCCAGGCAGCTCATCACCTTCATTCAACTTGGTATCAGATGCAGTCAGTTGCCTTCAGATCTGGTGAAGGAGTCTATGCTGCAGAGAGAATAGGGCAATCCAGGCACGGGACGTTGTCTCTTGGATGCACAGCTGGGCCATGGGGAACAGCAGCACTGACCACACAGAACAAATGGGTTCCAGTCCCAAGATGGCCACTAGTGTTAACCTCGGTCATCTTGGAGCCTGCATCCTTATCTGGACATCACAGATTGTTTAATGGATTTCCATGATCCTCCCTGCTAAGATGACAGGCATCTCCCCTGCGTTGCCTTCATGGTTGCCATTGCCTTCTCATGTATGGTTGGTAGGAAAGGGTACATGGTTCCTTCTGGCAGCAGCTGCCTTCCTCTGCCACAGCAAGGACTTCAGAGCAAAGAATGACTGACCGTTGAATGAAAAAAAGAAAGAGCCGGGCGATGGTGGCGCACGCCTTTAATCCCAGCACTCGGGAGGCAGAGGCAGGCGGATCTCTGTGAGTTCGAGACCAGCCTGGTCTACAGAGCTAGTTCCAGGACAGGCTCCAAAGCCACAGAGAAACCCTGTCTCGAAAAACCAAAAAAAAAAAAAAAAAAAAAAGAAAGAAAGAAAAAGGAAAGATGACTGGCTTTCCTGCTCCCGGGTATGGTGGAGGAGAAAGTTTATTACAGATATGTAGAGAGCATAGGCAGAGACAGGGATCTCTAGGGGAGTCCAGAGTGGCCATGTCTAGACTGAGCTGGGCCATGTGGAGAAACGGAGGAGGGAGAGATGGGAACCAGGTACAACATCTAGGAGGCCCAAAATACAAAGAGATCAGGTAACCAAATGGTTGGATTATATAGGGAAGGGCAGCCTAGCCCCCCGGGCTGGAGGGTATGCCAGCCACAAGGGCCCTGTAACAGGGGGCTGAGGGATGCAGGGAGAACCTGGTGGCCAGGTCCACTTTGGTATGTGTCCTCAGCCATTTGTCCCTGTTTGAAACCTAACAGCCATAAGACAGCTAGTTGAATAATTTTATTCAATAGGTCATGAAGGGCAAAGTGAATTGGCTTACCCAAGGATCACCAGCAGATGGCAGTTGGCATGGGTTTGACTCGTTTTGGTTTGGTTTTGGAGACAGGGTTTCTCTGTAGCTTTGGTTCCTGAACTAGCTCTTGTAGACCAGGCTGGCCTCAAACTCACAGAGATCCGCCTGCCTCTGCCTCCCGAGTGCTGGAATCAAAGGCATGCCCCACTACTGACCGGTTGGCAGTAAGCATGTTTATTTTCACTTGCTTTTGAGACAGAATCTCAAAACTTTTCTCTGTACAGACATGACTAGCCTGAACTCAGTACATAGCCCAGGCTGGCCTGAACTCAACACATAGCCCAGGCTGGCCTGAACTCAACACATAGCCCAGGCTGGCCTGAACTCAGCACATAGCCTAGGCTGGCCTGGCCTGAGAGTACTGTGCTCCATCACACTGGCCCATAGCACGTTTACTGCGTGGCTGTTTCCCATACTGCCCCTCTTCACAAATGGCGGAGAAAGCATTTAATATGAAATTCGCCCAAGGCCCTGTAAAGAAGGAGTGGTCAGAGCGAGCAGTTCTTCCAAGCCCTTTCCAGTGGCCACAGGATCCTTAGAAAGCCAAGATCCTAGTTACCTCAGGAAGCTGAGCTGCCCTCTGCCCTGGAGGAGAAAGTGAGGGTGAGTCCACCACACCCCCCCAGTTACCAAGGAAAGGGTGGAGGAGCTGGCCAAATATCCTGTCGCCTGGTATCCAAAACAAGCTATGCCATGCGTATGTGTGCCAAGCTGCTGGCCACCCTCTTCCTGTGGGACTGGGGCCTCCTCACCTGGAGCTGCCTTTGTAATTTCTCCTCCCTGGACCTTATCACATAGAAATACCGGCTTTCCTCCTCACTACTGTGACCTGCCCCTTAAAGGGACCAAGGAGCAGTTTTTTAAGCCAAATCGAGAGGACAGAGGCCCCTGCTGCCCTCTGGAAGACCTTGCTGTTAGTCTCCTGCTGTGACTCCTGCCCTTTTCTCTCCTCAGTTTCTCCCTGTCCCCTGATAGAGGGAAGATAAAAGTTCCCTAGTTGGGGTCCCACATCCTGTCCCCTCAGGGAGACTGTCCCCACGGGAGCCTGAGTCCTGCGACTGCCCTTTGCTCAGGGAATGTGTAGGGCAGGGCAGTGGCACCAGGAGGGTTAAAGGCCTGGCCACAGAACTGTCTAGTGTGTTTGAAGTAGGGTGGAGAAGGGAAGGGCTTGAGCAGTTGAAGAGGCGGCTGGTCAGGACTGGAGTGAGTGTCCCCTGGCCCCTATGCAAACTTCTGGATCATGAACAGTAGTTCCTGGAGAGGGACCCAGACAGAGGCACCCCTGCTGAGGTGCTGGGATCAACCCTTAGAGGACTTGCACATGTATTGAAGTCGCCAGCTGAGGGCAAGAGCAGGTTTCCCATCTTCAGGACCTCTCCCAGGTCTGGTGAGTCTACTCTTCCTCTTCCTGGGTCCTTACTTGACAAATGTACATTTACTCAGGAGACAGAGATGGGCAGGAACTCCCGGTACCCCAGGAGTGGCAAAAGAACGTAGAGTTCTCTCACCATGTCTCACACTCACTTCCCATTTGTGATCAGGGAGCAGTGTGCGAGTGTGTGTGAGTGAGTGTGCACGAGTGTGTGTGTCTGCATGCGAGTACGCAAATGGAAGACGGAATCACACAGTGGTCAATAGTTAATTAACACGACTTGTGTAGCAAGTGTTTCTAAATCCTTCCTATATTTTCTCTTTTAATCTTTAGAGTCTTGTAGGGTTAACCTACTCACTTTAAATAACTGATCTATGTCAATTAAGAAGTAAGTTGTAGACTAGGTTTTATTTTATTTTATTTTTTGGTTTTTCGAGACAGGGTTTCTCTGTGGCTTTGGAGCCTGTCCTGGAACTAGCTCTTGTAGACCAGGCTAGTCTCGAACTCACAGAGATCCACCTGCCTCTGCCTCCCAAGTGCTGGGATTAAAGGCATGCGCCACCACCGCTCGTGTAGACTAGGTTTTAGATTCAAGTTTATTCAGCATCCAAATTCATTGTGTTGTCACTAAGAGAAAAAGCAAAACAAAATCCCACTATCATTTTATGCTTATGGTGCTGGCACTGGAGCCCAGCACCTCTGCAAGCTAGGGAGTGCTCACCACTGAGCTACAGTCCACCTGGAACCTGAAGACTGTTACTTTTTCTTTTCATTTTCTTTTTCTTTTTTGTTTTTTGAAATAATATCTTACTATGTAGCTCCGGAGGTCCTAGAACTTACTATACAGACCAGGCTGGCCTCAAACTCACAGAGATTCACCTGCCTCTGCCTGCAGAGTGCTGGGAGTAAAGGTGTGTGCCACTATGCCAAGCCTCTACCATGTTTCCAGCAGTGTGCACACCAAGGATGGCCACAGGATCTGGAAAGCTGGAGGCTCGAAAGCCCCAGCAACTCTTGTGTCGCTCGGTATTCCTTTCCCGACAGAGCCAGGAGATGTTCCATGTCACCTGACGCCTTTAAAAGATTTTTCCCGTATTTTGAAAAGGAATTACCAAGGATTACTATGTAATAAGACATGACATTTCCCTTAATTTTTGAGTGTGGCGGTAAGAGGGACAACCAAAACATATTTTTGTTTGAAAAAGGCCATAATAAAATCTAATGCTGATAAATTTGTAAATCTCAGTGACTGTGGAGTTAAGAAGCTGTTGCACATTTATGATTAGTAAAAATGAGGTTAGAGGGAAAGCGAAAGCCAGGCTGGGGCATGGGGCCTTGTTATAGCATACATAAGGGCTGCAGAACAGCACAGGACTGTAGGGCGGTCAGTGGTGGCGCTGGCCTTTAACCCCAGCACTCGGGAGGCAGAGGCAGGCAGATCTCTGTGAGTTCGAGCCCAGCCTGGTCTACAAGAGCTAGTTCCAGGACAGGCTCCAAAGCTACAGAGAAACCCTGTCTCGAAACAAAAACAAAAACACAACACAGGACCACTCACTCATTCTTAAAGCCAGAGTCTAGACTTCCGGAGTCTAGACCAGTGGTCTCGACCTTCCTCATGCTGTGACCCTTTAATACAGTTCCTCATGTTGTGGTGACCCCCAACCATATAATGATTTTATTGGTGCTTCACAGCTATAATTTTGCTACTGTTATAAATCGTAATGTAAATATCTGATATGAAGGATATGTGACCTTAGGGGGTCGCTCCCCACGCCCCACAGGATGAGAAGCACTGCTCTAACCTGTCTTACTCTCCTATTAGGAGTTAGCTACTCTGCCAACTACTTTTAGCATTTCCTGGGATCTTCCGGGTTAATTCCCTGTGTCACCTCTGGTCAAAGTCTTCGTAGACGTCTCTGGACCTCAGACTTCTTGCCCCACCCTTTTGGCACAGATGCCACAGTGCCTGCTGAGAAACTGGCAGGAGGTGACTCCTTAGGATAGCCTGGCTGCATAGGTCTTTGCTTCCTTATCCTATGCCTTGCTGTCTGGACTGGGACCTAGGGTTCCTTTAGAGAAATATTCAGTTACAAGCCCAGGGGTGGGGTGGGGTGGGGTGGGGAGGAAGACAGGATCCCTAAATTCAGTTTGCAAACAAAACAAAGCAAAGCTGATGATCACCCTCAGAAACGTGAGCGCTGAGTGTTACCAAGCACAGGGTGGGTGGGGCTGGAGATGCCTGCTCAGTGACGTCGTGGAGTGTGTGGTTAGATTAGGGTATGGTGCAGCCTGGAACTTCTGCAATTTACTAACAGTAAAGTCAATAACTCTGCACTGTGGGCCTGGCTGCCAATGGCAGGGCCACCCTGGAAGCTTCTCTAGGTGGAGGGATTTTAGCCACACAAGCTTCTGCCTGCCTTTACATTGATATATTGGTCCTTCTGGGTCCTTTTCTCTGTGCTGTGTGGTTGCTGGATGAATGGGTCTCCTCTACCCCTCACCCCTCCACACCATCACCCTTTGGGGGACTGTACTACTCTTCCCTGGCATTGACAGGAAAGTCAGAAAAAGTGACGGCTCCAAAACACCAGCACTCAGCCTATCCTAGCCCTGCTCCTCTACTGGACTCAGGGCTGAATCAGGACTATAAGCAACCTGGCAGAGAAGGGTTCATTTCATCTTACAGTTTACATCATTAGAGAAGTCAGGGCAGGAACTGACCCAGAGGCCATGAAACAACACTGCTTGTTCCTCACGTCTTATTCGTCCTTCCTTCCTTCCTTCCTTCCTTTTTTGGTGTTTTGAGACAGGGTTTCTTTTTTTTTTTTAATAATTTATTTATTTTTATTTTATTTGCCTTGGTGTTTTGTCTGCATGTATGTCTATCTGAGGGTGTCAGATCTTGGAGTTACAGACAGCTGTTAACTGCCATGTGGGTGGTAGGAATTGAACCTGGGTCCTCTGGAAGAGCAGTCAGCACTCTTAACCACAGAGCCATATCTCCACTGTGTAGCTCTGGCTGTCCTGGAACTCACTCTGTAGACCAGGATGGCCTTGAAATCACAGAAGCCTCTGCCTTCCAAGTGCTGCCTTCCAAGTGCTGGGATTACAGGCGTGTGCCACCACCACTCGGCTTCTGCGGGTTTTTTTTTTTTTATTGATTAATTAATTAATTATACAATGTTCTGCCTGCATGTATGCCTGCCCTCCAGAAGAGGGCACTAGATCTCATAGATGGTTGTGAGACACGATGTGGTTGCTGGGAATTGAACTCAGGACCTCTGGAAGAGCAGCCAGTGCTCTTAACCTCTGCCCATCCTCTGCAGGGTTTTTTTTTTCCTCCTCTGTAGGTTTTTTTTTGTTGTTTTTTTTTTAAATATTTATTTATTTACTTGTTATGTATACAGTGTTCTGTCTGCCTGTATGCCTGCAGGCCAGAAGAGGGCACCAGACCTCATTACAGATGGTTGTGAGCCACCATGTGGTTGCCGGGAATTGAACTCAGGACCTTTGGAAGAGCAGGCAATGCTCTTAACTGCTGAGCCATCTCTCCAGCCCCCTCCTCTGTAGGTTTTTAAAAAATGTTAAGACTTATCTGTGTGTGTGTCCTTGAATTTAAGTCAAAAGTCTTGGTGACAGCTGCTGTCACCCACCCACGATTGTTACTGTTTTTGTTGTTGTTCTTTGTTTTGCTTTTCAAGACAAGGTTTTTCTATATAGCCCTGGCTAGAACTTACTTTGTAGACCAGACTGTCTTTGAACTCAGAGATCCACCTGCCTCCACCTCCTAAGTGCTGGGATTAAAGGCGTGCGCCACCACTGCCTGGCTGTTACTGTTTTAATTTTAAATTTATACTTACGTCTTCATTGGGGGCACACGAGCTAAGGTTCATGTGGAGGTCAGAGGAACCCTTTCAGGAGTTCTAGAACATGTGGGTCTCAGGGATGGATTGTCAGGCAAGGCAGCTCGCTCTCCCACTGCGCCCGCCTCACTGGTCCTGACTGGTTTAGAAGTAGAGTAGGAGATGAACACTGTGGCTTGCTCTCCAGGAGCTTGTGTGCTGGTTTCAGAAGACAATGTAGGCTCCATAGTGTGATGGGTCAGCTTTGAAATCTCACCGCCTGCAGTCAACTGCCTGTGTGGCTTTGAGCAAGCCCCTGAAGCTCTGTGCCCTGTGCCCACAGTTCCTCAGGGGTATGCTGTAGAGGTTGCTGGCCAGCACCAGCAGCCACTCCTAAACTGACTTCCTCTGTGGGCTCCCGGCGATAGTTAGGAAATGGATATGTTGGGATAATCAATGTCTCCTCCCTGAAACCATTGCTTATTGGTATATAGATAGCAGATCTTTAAGTTTTCTCTATAAAGACCCAGAAAAAAAATATTTTAGGCTTGTGAGCCATATGGTCTCTGTCATAATGATCAACTTTGCTGACGATATGTAAATGAGTGAGCATGTTTAAAAATTCCTACAAGTGTGGAATTTTGAATTTCATGAAAATTATATATATATATATACATATATTTTTTGAGACATCGTCTTATGTATCCCACATTGTCTAAAACTCACAGTGTAGCTGGCAATGACCCTGACCTTTTGTGTTCCTGTGTGTGTCTATATCTGTGTGTACAGAGGCCAGAGACCCTGAGGATCTGTGTGCCTTCTGTTTTTGTTGCTTGTTGGTTTCTAACTTTTTTTGAGATCTTGTTTATTTTTGTTTATTTCTATTTTGTGTGTAGGAGTGTTTTTCCTGCATGTATGTCAGTGTGCCATGTGTGTGCCTGATGCCTGCAGAGTCCGTTGGATTCAGAGGACGTCAGATCTCCTGGAACTAGAGTTACAGACACTTGTGAACTAGGAACTGAGCTCAGGTCCTTGCAAGAGCAGCACGTTCTCTTAAGCACTGAGTTCCTCTCCTGCTCCTCTGGTGGTCTTCTGAGACAGGGTCACTACTGTGTAGCCCAGGCTGGTCTCGAGCTAGTTGGTCCTCTTGTCTTAGCCAATCACGTGCTGGGATTAGAAGCAGGTACCATCAGTCCCTCCTTCAGTGTCTTCTTTTTAATTTCTTCAACAACAATTTAAGAAAGACAGGGCGGGGCTAAGAGCTGGGGAGGTGGGTCCGCAGTTAGAATGCTCACTGGTCCACAGTCTAGTTCCATGGGATCCAGGACTCTCTTCTGGCCTGCATGTCCACTACATTCAAGGTGCACATCCATCTATGCAGGTGAAACATTCATATGCGAGACCAGTGGGCATTCTAACTGCGGACCCACCTCGCCAGCTCTTAGCCCCGCCCTGTCTTTCTTAAATTGTTTTCGATATAGGGTTTCTCTGTGTAACAGCCCTGGTTGTCCTGGAACTCGCTCTGTAGACCAGGTTGGCCTCAAACTCACAGAAATCCACTGCCTCTGCCTCCCAAGTGTTAGGATTAAAGATGTGCGCCACCACTGCCAGGCACTCCTCATATTTTTTTTTTCTCTTAAGAATTATTTAGGGGGCTAGAGAGATGGCTCAGAGGTTAAGAGCACTGGCTGCTCTTCTAGAGGTCCTGAGTTCAATTCCCAGCAACCACATGGTGGCTCACAACCATCTGTAATGAGATCTGGTGACCTACTCTGGCGTGCGGGCATACATGGAGGAAGAATGTTGTATACATAATAAATAAATAAATCTTTTTAAAAAAAGAGAATTATTTAAACTGGCCGGGCGGTGATGTCGCACTCCTTTAATCCCAATACTTGGGAGGCAGAGGCAGTGAATCTCTGGGAGTTTGAAGTCAATCTGGTCTACAGAGTGAGTTCCAGGACAGCCAGATCTGTTACACAGAGAAACTGTTTCAAAAAACAAACAACAACAACAAAAAAAAAATAGTTAGGGAGCGGCAAGTCTTGCTAGGAAGCCTAAGGACCTGAGTTCAGTTTCTGAAGCCCATATGGCAGAAGGAGAGAATCAATTCCCAAACTTGTCTCTGACCTCCACATGTGTTCTGTGTCACTCTTGTACCTGCTTGGATGGTCTCTCTCTCTTTCTCATACATATACACAAACTAAACAAAATGCAATTTAAAAATAAAGACGGAGCAGGGCAGTGATGGCACATGCCTTTAATCCCAGCACTCAGGAGGCAGAGACAGGCGGATCTCTGTGAGTTTGAGACCAGCCTGGTCTACAAGAGCTAGTTCCAGGACAGGCTCCAAAGCTACAGAGAAACCCTGTCTCGAAAAACTAAGAAAAACTAAAAAATAAATAAATAAATAAATAAAATAAAGACGGGTCATTGACAAACCTTAGCTAAACACCTGGTCTCACTCCCCAGGGCCCACAAGGTAGCAGGTTGTCCTCTGACTGCTACCATCACTCCATGGCACTTGTGTGCCCACACATCTGCACAAACCAATATTAAAAATAAGTACGGCCAGCAAGATGGCTCCATGGGTAAAGCCATCTTCTGAGCGAGCCTGGGGACCTGACTGCAGCCCCCAGAACCCATGGGAAGGTGGTAGGAGGGGACCGAATCAGTATTGTGGTTCTCTGCCTCCATACACAATAAAATAATAATAATAATAATAATAATGAAAGCCAGGAGTGGCTGCAGGATGGCTTGGCGAGGCCTGGGTTCAATTCCCAGCATCCACATGGCAGCTCACAAATATGTTTCACTACATCCTGATCTGATGCTGTCTTCTGGTGTTCAAATATCTATACAGACAAACACTTACTTACATATAATACATAAATAAAATTTTTAAAAGGCCAGGCATGAGCTTTTAATTGGAGCTTGCTTACATTTTCAGAGGTGTGTCTGCAGGCAGGGTGGCCACAGGCAGGCAGCGTGGCCACAGGCAGGCAGGGTGCTGGGGCAGCAGCTAAGAGCTCACATCTGACCCATGGGCGGGACAGAGAGAGAGAGAGAGAGAGAGAGAGAGAGAGAGAGAGAGAGAGGCTGGACATAGTGGACTTGAAACCTCCAAGTCCACCCGCAGTGCCGCACCTCCAACAAGCCACACCTCCTAATCCTTCCCCAAACAGCTCCACCCGCTGGGGACCAGTTGTTCAAACACACGAGCCTATGGAGGCCTTTCTCATTCAAAACCACAGTCAGGAAATCATTTTCTTGCTTTCATTTTTTTTTTTTATTTTCTTAGTTTTTCGAGACAGGGTTTCTCTGTAGCTATGGAGCCTGTCCTGGAACTAGCTCTTGTAGACCAAGCTGGTCTCAAACCCACAGAGATCCGCCTGCCTCTGCCTCTCGAGTGCTGGGATTAAAGGTGTGCGCCACTACCACCTGGCTTCTTTCATTTTTTTAAGACAGGGTTTCTCTGTGTAATAGTCCTGGCTGTCCTGAAACTCACTCTGTAGACCAGGCTGGCCTTGCACTCATAGAGAACTGCCTCCCGAGTGCTGGGATTAAAGGTGCACACCATCACCACCCAGCTAGGAACATCATTCTCTTATTTTCTGAGACAAGAAAAGAAAAGAAAGAAAGGAAAGGAAAGAAAAGGAAAAAAAAAGAAGCAAGCCCACCATCACGAGGTTTAGGAAGGTTGTACTTACAAATCTAATGGATTTCAAACCCCAATCACACCGGGAGAAAGCAAGGGTTTAGCTTTGCTCTACAGCGCCCCCTGCTGCACCCAGTTACTCTAAGTTATTATCCTATTATTGTCTGTGAGTCAGTGGTGAGACAGACCTTCTAGGGCTGTAAGAGACAGGGTTAGCGCTTTTTCCTGCTCGGCCTGCTTCCTCTCGAGTGCCTGTTTCGGAATCTCCTAGCTCTGTCACCAGAAACAGACCTGTGACTTGATGTGACCTCAGTGCAAGAGAGCCAGCGGGGCTCTTCCCTTGTCTCTTGAGCCATTTCCTGAGCTAAGAGGTCAGGGGATGTTGGGAGGGGGCTGGGAGCAAAAAGAGGACAAAGAGAGCTAACTCCTGGAAGGTCCTCTGACCTCCAAGTGTGCACAACGTCACACATGCATAAACAAACAAATGAACCCACTATTTACCCACACATACCACAGAGCGTGTGTGGAGGTCAGAGGGCTTCCCTTCCTTCCTCAGATCCCAGCCACCTTCCCCGCTCAGAGTCAACCTGTTCCTCCTGTTTTGTTTTCTGGAGTCTCCCAGATAGTCATATGCACTCATTTCACTGATAGACAAAGCCTTTTTTTTTTTTCTGAGACAAGGTTTCACTATGTTGTCATTGACTGTATGTAGACTGTGCTTGTCTTAAACTCCTAGAGATCTGCCTTTTCCTCACCCATCCTGGCCACAGGCTTTGGGTGAACTTTCTCTTGTAGCATTTAGTAGTTATGGAGGCATTTTTAAATTGTGCTTTAGTCTGAACACATGTATACACACACACACACACACACACACACACACGTATGAACACCTAAGGGCAGAAACCGTATCTGCTCTTCTTTTTTTTATTTACTTATTATGCATACAATGTTCTGTCTGTGTGTATGTCTTCAGGCCACAAGAGGGCACCAGATCTCATTACAGATGGTTGTGAGCCACCATGTGGTTGTTGGGAATTGAACTCAGGACCTCTGGAAGGAAAGTCAGTGCTCTTAACCTCTGAGCTATCTCTCTAGCCCCCGTATCTGCTCTTCTTAGCATGACTTCCTACCATATAAATGCTCAATGGATGGAATAATAATGAACAAACAAGATCTTCTTTTAAAGTTTTTCATTTTGAAACAAGGTTGCCCACAGCAGCCTTGAACTCTCAATTTCCCTGTTATGCCGTCTGAGCACTGAGATTACAGACATGAGCCACCACGCTCAGTAAAGGTCTCCACTGGACAGAACACTGGACTAGTAGCCAGAAAGTTGGCCTACACTCAACCCTGCATCCTCCGGCTCTGCCATAGTGGGGTGGGGGCGCAAGGAGCCTGGTTGCTGTGCGTCTTCATCCAGGTTGTTCTTTCTGTCTTCATTTCTTTCTTCTTCTTTCTTTTTTTCCCAAAGATTTATTTATTTGTTTATTTGTTCTGTCTACATGGCAGGCAGGCCAGAAGAGGATGCCAGATTCCATTCCAGATCTGAGTTGTGAACCGCCATGTGGTTGCTGGGAATTGAACTCAGGACCTCTGAAAGAGCAGCCAGTGCTCTTTACCTCTGAGCCATCTCTCCAGCCCCTCCTTTCTTTCTTTCCTTCTTTCCTTTCTTTCTTTCTTTCTTTCTTTCTTAAGATAGGATCTCACACACCTTTAAATCCCAGCACTTGAGAAGTAGAAGCAGGCAAATCTCCATGAGTTCGAGGCCAGCCTGGTCTACACAGTGAGTCCCAGAACTGGCTCCATAGCTACTGAGAAACCCTGTCTTGAAAAATAAATAAATAAATAAAAAGATAGGATTTCACTATATAGTCCTGGCTGACCTGGAATTTGCTACAGGCAAGCCACGCTAGCCTCGAACTTGCTGAGACCAGTCTGCCTCTGCTTTTCCAGTTGAAGGAATGTGCCAACCACTCACAGCTTCCTTCTTTTTTAAAAGACAGGGCCTCACCCTTAGCCCAAACTAGCACAAACCTCATCATGCAGCCCAGCTTAGCCGGCCCCTACTCAGGGCCATCCTTCTGTCTCAGCTTCTTGAAGGTCTGTAGCACCATCCCTGGTTCCAAGGTTCTAGAATGCTGCTCACCCTTCTCTTTCTTCTCTGTTCAGAGCTGTCTCCGTGTACCTTCCATGAACAAATCGGCCCCAGAGGAGTCTCTCGTAGGTGAAGGCCCAGTGTCCCAGGGCCACACTCCATGCTGCCTGTCTGAAGTTGAATCCAGTCAGCAGCTGGAGGAAGAGGAGGTCGAGGAAGAGTCGGGGAGAAAGAGAAAACAGGAAGACAGTGATGGCGCCCACGCCTCACCCCTTAGAAGATGTGGGGCTTTCCGCACCCATAACCACACCAATGATTCCTTCAAAAGACACAGTTGGGGACCTGACAAGGATTTACAGGACCCAATGAGCAGGTGAGTCCCCAGGGCACCTCCTGACCCTCCCTTCCCCTCTCTAAACCTTGGAGAAAGTGTTCAAATAGATCCTGGTGTCTTCGCCCCACCCCCTCCTCTGCCACTGATTTCTCTGGAGAAACAAGGGTCTCTGAGAAATGACTGAAGCTCGGGAGAATCAGGGCCTGGCCTGTGATGAGCCCTGGCGAGGCTAACCAAGGGCTCTCCTCAGTGATAGCTGGGAGTAGGAGGGAGGGAGTGCTGAGTGGGTCCCCTTTGAGTTTCATAGTCCCATTCAATGGTGTCAAAAAATCTGGAGATTATTATGTAACCCAGCCTCTCCTTTTTACAGACAGGAAATGGGCCCCAAGAACTTTAGGTTTCTTGAAGGAAGTTGGTAGTGTTTCCCCAGGCTCGGTCACCCTACCGGTTTCAGGCAGAGGCCGACTCATGTCCTGGAAGCAGCTGCAGCCAGCAACACCTGGAGTTTTATGCCTGGTAGTTTGTTAGTTGTTTTGTTTATTTTTGTGACAGAGTTTCAGGTAGGTCAGGTTGGTTGCAAATTTGCAATCCCCCTAATCTCCTCTCAAGTGCTGAGATGACAGACATAGGCTACCATGCCTGGCTGGGGACAGCTGCCTTACTCAGAGCTCTGCATGTGCTTAGCAAGCTTGGGGAGGGGGACCCTCGTGTTCCCTATCTCCTGGAAAATCCCTGACCACTTCCCCAAAAAAGAGGAAGTAGAAAAAGAGAAGGTCGGGGAGGGGCTTATCCCCATGAGGGTCCAGGGTCAGCCACCACCGAGGCATGGACTGTAGACAAGTCCTTAGCTCTGGTGAGTGGTTCAGCATTCTTCAGCCCTTGAGCATGGGCACAGGGGGCTTTGCTGAACAAGGGAGATGCCCCCTGGGACATTGCCCCAGCATTGGTTTTGTTGTTTTAAAAAATATTTGTTTATTATGTAAACAATATTTTGTCTGCATGTATGCCCGCAGGCCAGAAGAGGGCACCAGATCTCATTACAGATGGTTGTGAGCCACCATGTGGGGAATTGATTGAACGCAGGACCTTTAGGAAGGGCAGGCAATGCTCTTAACCGCTGAGCCATCTCTCCAGCTCCCCCGCCCTTCCCAGCTTTGGTTTTGTGGGAACTTGGAGAACAGCAATGCCTTCCCACAGGCCTGGATGAATGTCTCGAGTGCCTTTCGTGATGCCTGTCTATAGTTTTTCTGGATGTCTAAAGTCTCACCCGCCCTTCATGAACAGATGTTAATTCTGAGCCTCAGATGCAGAGGGAAGGAACGCTGACTTCTCCATAGCTGAGTAAGAGGGGAGGCTGTCATCAGAAACCAAACAAGGAGAATTCTGCTTGCCCTTCCCTTCCTTTCTGGAGGACAGTACTGCTTTTGTACCAGCAGGGGTCGTTCTTGTCTGAAGCCCGCTGTGCCAGCATCGAGCTCAGTTTGGGTTTGAGCTGTGCCTATGCTAACAGGAAGGGCTGGGCTGGGACCAAACAACAAGGCTGGGCTGAGGAACTGTTCGTTCCTGGTGCCCATCACTGACTACTGGCTACAAGGGCAGTGGTGGCAATGTGTGTTTCAGGAGGAGACTGCAGTCCTTGGGATGCCCAGGTTCCCAAGAAGACCCCTTTCTGCAGAGCCACGAGGAATTGGACACCTTTCTGGGAGCTCAGCAGCAGCAGCAGCAGCTGTGTGGTCAACCCTCCTCCCACCCGGTATGACAGACCCTGGCCGGGCCACTGCCTGGCTTCCCCTCCTGCCACTCCCCTGCCAGCAACCACTCTGGGCTTCTTCTGTTCCATCAGCTGCTGAGTCTCTCTGTGCCCAGACCTGGCTCTGGCTCCATCTGGGTCCATCTGAATCTATCTTCTGTGGCCCTCTGTCTGCTTTGTTGAGTCTATGTGTGCGCCTCCGACGCTTGGGAGCCTGCCTCTGTCTCTGTAGCGCTGTCTCTGTATTGATACGGCTATCTGTCCCCTTCCCTTACTTATAAGACCTCTGTCCCTCTGATGGCTATAATTACTTCTTTCTGTGGGCCCCACATTTCCCAGAGTTGGAACTGAACTTACTATTGTGGGAATAAACTCAGCATCTGGTACCCTGAGAGACACAGCAACCCTTTAAGAAAATCTCAATAGAAACAGCGATTGAGAAAGGATACAGAGCCTCGAGTGTAGGTGAATACCGGGGTCACTGTATATCAAGAGAACCCCTGGATTTAGTCCCCAGTAACAGAGGAAGGGTAGAAAACAAAGCTTTCCGAATGGGAAGCACAGCTAGTAATGGTGTTCCCAGCTCTAAGACCACGGAGGCTGAGAGCAACATCTGACACACAAGCCAGTATCCTGCACTCCAGAGAGCCTCAAGCCTGTGCTGAGATCCCCTCCTGAACTACCCAGTTGCCCAGGAGCCCAATTTGACCCTCAGTGTTGTGAAAGAAAGGGTTGGCTGGGAGAAAGAGACTATGTCCACCCTTTTAGGCCAAGTAGCAGGACCTCATCTTACTCCGGCTCCTGGTTTCCTCCACTCTGCTCTGGAAATTTCCTCCCGACTCTCCCATAAGTGAGAGGATAAAGAGCAGGTTCTCACTGCTAGATCTTCTTCACTTGGCAGTTGGTGCATTTATCTCATCTTCCCCATATCAGAGCTAAAGCTGCCTTCCAGTCGCAGTTGTTAGAAGAAAGGCATTGGGCTGCCCGAGCCAGAGGCTGGCCCTCTGATGTGAGTTCAGGAAATATTTTTTCTCTTCTTTTCCTTTTTTGTTTCATCCTTCTTTTTTTTAAATAACTTATTTATTGGTACTCTATGTGTACTGGCATTTTGCCTGCATATATGTCTGTGTGAGTGTCTGTCAGATCCCCTGGAACAAAAGTTCTGAGCCACCATGTGGGTGCTGGGAATCGAACCCGGTCCTCTGGAAGAGCAGTCAGTGCTCTTCACCACTGAGCCATCTCTCCAGCTGCTCCCTTCTCTCTTCTCATCTTACTCTCTCCCTTGTTGGTATCACAAGATGTCTTCTCACCTGGAGCTCCCGTATTTGCTGCAGACCTCTCCTCCCCTCATCTAATCCTTAAGGCCTTGCTTTAATAGTCTTTTTGTCTCAGGGTTTGGGGTTCTTGTTTTTCTTCCTTGTGGCATTCCTCCAAAGCCTGCAGACCAAAAGTCTGACTCAATGAGGGTTAGATAGGGGCTGCAGATGATATCTATAAGCAAAATCTCATTCCAAAATTGATCTTTTAACAGTGTGTGCAGGCGCACGTGCCTGTGCGTGCAATGCCTGGCTGGCTGTGGGGTGCTGGGACCTGAACTCCGGTCCTCTCACCTGTGTAGCAATCATTTCATAACTGCACAGCCACCTCCATGGCCCCGAATTTCTTTTTTTTTTTTTTTTGGTTTTTCGAGACAGGGTTTCTCTGTGGCTTTGGAGCCTGTCCTGGAACTAGCTCTGTAGACCAGGCTGGTCTCGAACTCACAGAGATCCGCCTACCTCTGCCTCCTGAGTGCTGGGATTAAAGGCGTGCGCCACCATCGCCCGGCTATGGCCCCGAATTTCTAAGCTGCAACTGTCTCTGCTCTGCAGCTGGCTACAGCCACTGATATATGCTTCGAGTTTCCCTTTGTTTTTGGTGTTATCTCATTATTTATTTTATTAGAGATAGATCTATTTTATATAGCAGACTGGCCCCCCAGTCCTCCTGCCTCTGCCCCTCCTAGCTCTGGGACAACAGGACACACCACACCCGGTCTTTTCTGTTTTGTTTTTGTGTCTGGAGACTATGTAGCATTAGCTGGTCTGGAACTTGGCATGTAGACCAGGCTCACCTCCAATTTGTGACGATTTCCGTGCGTCTTAAGAGCAAGGATTACAGACATGAACCACTATCCCAGCTCTGCTTTGTTTTTTTTTTTGGATTTTTGAGACAGGGTTTCTCCGTAGCTTTTGGTTCCTGTTCTGGAACTAGCTCTTGTAGACCAGGCTGGCCTCGAATTCCCAGAGATCCGCCTGCCTCTGCCTCCCGAGTGCTGGGATTAAAGGCGTGCACCATCACCGCCCGGCCCAGCTCTGCTTTGTTGTTGTTTTTTTTTTTGTTTTGTTTTGTTTTGTTTTTTTTCGAGACAGGGTTTCACTGTGGCTTTGGAGCCTGTCCTGGAACTAGCTCTGTGGACCAGGCTGGTCTCGAACTCACAGAGATCCGCCTGCCTCTGCCTCCCGAGTGCTGGGATTAAAGGCGTGCGCCACCATCGCCCGGCTGCTTTGTTGTTTTTAAAATATGATTTTACAAGACAAGATTTATAAGGGTCAAAGCCAAAGCCGAAACCCTTCCCATCCCACGACATCACCAACAAACCCTTCGTCCTTGCTGACGGCTGACAGGGGCTGTCCTGGAACTCGCTCTGTAGACCAGGCTGCTCTGGAAAGGCCTCCCAGAACCCTCAGGCTGCCTCTGCCTCCCACAGGCTGGGATTAAAGATGTGTGCCTCCAAGTTTAGATTATCTTTTTTCTTCTTTATTAACATCTATTCATTTTACGTGCCTGGGCATGCACACACATGCTACGGGGTCTATGTGGGAACCAGAGGACAGCTTTCAGGTGTTGCGCTCCACCCACTACCCAGCCTTTAAGGCTCACACTTAGGTTAACAGGCTCCACCCACTGAGTCCTCTTCTAGTCCTTCCTTTCCTTCCCACCATAGGTAACATTATGATAAATATTTATCATTTCCCTTGTCAAAAACTGTCTTAATACGAATGTATATTTTATCTATAGTGTAATATGTCTTTATTGCTGAATTTAAAAGCAATGATGACATACTTTATAAAGTTAGATCTTGTTCTTTCTTGTGTGTGGTGTTTGAGACAGTCTTGGCTGATTCGAGCTTGTGATCTTCCTGTCTCAGTCTCCTGTGCATTAAACTTCACGGGGTATGTCCTTGTGCCCGACAACAGGGCTCATTAACTTCACGGGGTATGTCCTCGTGCCCGACAACATGGCTCACGGTGATGTTGTTATTTATCTTTTATCTCTGTGTTGTGGCAAATTGTTGCAGTCACTCATTTGTATTTTATTTATACTTCATTTTTGAGATAGGACCTTTTTTTATATATTTATTTATTTATTATGTATACAATATTCTGTCTGTGTGTATGCCTGCAGGCCAGATGGTTATGAGCCACCATGTGGTTGCTGGGAATTGAACTCAGGACCTTTGGAAGAGCATGCAGTGCTCTTAACCTCTGAGCCATCTCTCCAGCCCCCTTGAGATAGGATCTTATGTAGCCCAGGCTATCTTGGAAGTCTCTATGTAGTGGAGGATGACCCTGAATTCCTGATCTTCCAGCCTCCACCTCCCAAGATCTGGGATATTAGGCATAGACTGCCATGCCGGTTTTCTCTGGTACTAGGGATGGGAATCAAGTCTTGGTTATGCTGAACAAGCACTCCACTGGCTGAGCTACATCCTAAGCCATATACTTTCCCCCTAAGTTTATTATTATGGAGGTCAGAGACAACTCTGTGATATTAGTTCTCTCCGTCCACCTTTCCATTGTTCCTGGGATGAAGTTCGGTATATGCTCACACAGGATTTACTTACTGATCACTCTTTCCAGCCCTCATTTTGTTCTGGAAATTGTTCCTTCTATTTTAATTCCTCTTCCTTCTTCTTCTATTGAGAGAGGTCTCTCTACTGTGTATCTCTAGCTGTCTTGGATCTCACTCTGGAGACCAGGCTGGCCTCAAACTCAGAGATCTGCCTGCTTCTGCTTCTTGAGTGCTGGGATTAAAGCTATGCACTACCACGATGGTCTTAGAGTATTTATTCTTTCTTTCTTCCTTTTTTTCTTTCTCTCTCTCTCTCTCTCTCTTTTTTTTTTTTTTTTTTTTGAGACAGGATTTCTCTGTAGCTTTGGAGCCTGTCCTGGAACTAGCTCTTGTAGACCAGGCTGCCCTCAAACTCACAGAGATCCACTTGCCTCTGCCTCCCAAGTGCTAGGATTAAAGGTGTGTGCCACCACGGCCCAGTTCTTTTTTTCTTTTGTTCTTTCTTTATTATTTTTAACATTTTTAATGATTTATTGATTTATTTATTCTTTTTTTTAAAATATTTATTTTTTTATTATGTATACAGTATTCTCAGTACTCTGCCTGCAGGCCAGAAGAGGGCACCAGATCTCATTACAGATGGTTGTGAGCCACCATGTGGTTTCTGGGGAATTGAACTCAGGAACTTTGGAAGAGCAGGTGGTGCTCTTAACCACTGAGCCATCTCTTCAGCCCCCTGATTTATTTATTCTTATTTCATGTGCATTGGTGTTTTGCCCACATGTGTGTTTGTGTGAGGGTGTCAGACCCCCTGGAACTGACATGTTAGTGCTAAGAATTGAACCCAGGTCCTTTGGAAGAGCAATCTTACCCACTAAGCTATCTCTCCAGCCCCCTTTATTCATTTATTATTATTATTTTTTATGATAAGCACTTTGAAAGGGGTAAGATATAGTCTCAGTGTGGTTTTATTTCCCTGTCCCGATGGCTAAGGGTGTTCAACATTTTTTTGTAAGTGTACCGTCATTTGTGACCAGTTCACTTGTCCACTTATTGACTGATTATTCTTTTCTCCATGCCTGCTTTTTCTCTTTATGTTTAGATATTAGTCCCATTATTTGCACGTCTAGCTCTCTCTCACTTGTAGGTTGTCTGTTTTCCTCGCTGTGCTGAAGTTTTCCAACCTTCACGTAACTCCACCTGTCCGTTCTCGCTTTATTTCCTGTCCTTTACAGAAAGAGAGTCCTCTGCCCAGGGCTGAGGATGTGGCTAGAGGTGGCTCAGCAGTTAACAGTACTGGCAGAGACCAATATTATCTGCTTGCATTGTTTATAACTCCAGCCCCAGGGGATTTAGCGCCCTCTTGTGGCCTCTTCGGGAGCTTGCACACATGTGGTACACACACAATAAAATAAAAACAAACTGCAAAAATAAAGTAAAAGCAACAGAATACAAAACCAACTACAAACAAACAACTAGACGTGGTGCTATAAGCCTGTGACTCCTGGCGCTCCACGGATGGAGGGGGGGGGGGGGTCAGCGCGCCTAATTGCCTGTGCCTGGGTCTTAAACTGTGTCTGTGGTTTTTCTCGCAACAGTTTTAAAGTTCTAGTTTTTTTTTTGTTTGTTTGTTTGTTTGTTTTTCGAGACAGGGTTTCTCTGTGTAACAGTTCTGGAACTCACTTTGCGGACTAGGCTGGCCTTGAACTTATTGATATCACCTGCCTCTGCTGATATCACCTCCCAAGTGCTAGGATTCAAGGTGTGTGCCACCACCAGGCACAAAGTTCCAGGTTTTTTTGTTTTGTTTTTTGAAACAGGGTTTCACTGTGTAACAGTCCTGGCTGTCCTGGAACTAGCTCTTGTAGAACAGGCTGGCCTCAGACTGACAGAGATCTGCCTGCCTCTGCCTCCAGGTGTGTGCCACCACCACCAGCAAAGTTCCAGATTTTATTTTAAGGTCCATCACTCATTTGACATATCTTTGTGCAGGGTGAGGAAGAATCTAGAACTTTCAGGAAGTTTCATGTGGCCCTTGGTGATTTCATTTTCACGACCCTGAAGCAGCCCATGCTCTTACCTGCCCTGCACTGAATGTGTCCTTTAGACATTTTGACTATGATTATTGTGTATCTGATGATTTTTGTCAGTTTGGGCTCTGTCTTTCATTAAAAAAAAACAAACTAGAGTTTTCATTTTGTTTGTTATTTGTAGCTGCTTGTGGTGGCATAAACCTTTAATCCCAGCACTCAGGAGCCAGAAGCAGGCAGACTTCTCTCAGTTCGAGGCCAGCCTGTCTACCTAGTGAGTTCCAGGTCAGTCAGAGCTACACAAGAGATCCTACATCAAAAGAGAGCCAGGCAGTGGTGGCGCATGCCTTTAATCCCAGCACTTGGGAGGCAGAGGCAGGTGGATCTCTGTGAGTTCGAGACCAGCCTGGTCTACAAGAGCTAGTTCGAGGACAGGCTCCAAAACCACAGAGAAGCCCTGTCTCGAAAAACCAAAAAAAAAAAAAAAAAAAAAAAAAAAAAAAAAAAAAAAAAAGAAGAGAAACCAGCCTTAGGGTCAGATATGGTGCTCCAGGTCTGTAATTCCACCACTAGAGAGGTTGAGGTAACAGAATCATGAATGTAAGACCAGCCTGAACTACACAGGAAGATCCTGTCTCAAACCAATCGTACACAAACACAAACACGAAGGAAGCAAAAGGGGGCAGGATATGGCTTAGTGAGTAACGACTCCTGATGACCTGAGCTTAATATCTAAGATACATATTGTAGAAGGAAAGAACTGACTCCTGTAGGTTGTCCTCTGACCTTTACAGGTGCGCGCGCGCGCGCGCACACACACACACACACACACATACACACACACACAAAATAAAATCTAATTTAAAAAATAGAAAAAAAAAAGGCTGGAGAGATGGCTCAGAGGTTAAGAGCACTGACTGCTCTTCCAGAGGTCCTGAGTTCAATTTCCAGCACCCACACAGTGGCTCTCAACCATTTATAGTAGGATCTGATGCCCTCTTCTGGTGGGCAGGTGTACATGCAGAGCACTCAAGAAAAAGCAAGCATGGGTATACATATATCAAAACATCTCATTGTGCCCCCCAGAATATATTCCATATTTCTGTGATGATTTAAAAAAACAAGAAGAAACTACACCCCAGTTTTCGAATGAGCTCTAGTAGCACAGGCCTACTGAGGTTGCGGCACTCAGAAGGTAGAGGATTGGCACAGGCTTTTAATTCCAGGACTTGGGAGGCAGAGGCAGGTAGATCCTTTGAGTTTGAGGCCAGCCTGGTCTACAGAGCTAGTTCCAGGGCAGCCAGGGCTACACGGAGAACCCCTGGCTCAAAAACAAAAAAGCAAAAAACAAAACAAAACAAAAAACAAATTCAAGGTCATCTTCAGCTACTTGATAATCTCAAGGCCAGCCTGAGCTACCTAAGACCCTTTCTCAAAATAAAGTTTAAAAGAAAGAGGTTGGGCTGGGCAGTGGTGGCACACTCAGGAGGCAGAGGCCGGCAGATCTCTGTGAGTTCAAGACCAACCTGGTCTACAAGAGCTAGTTCCAGGACAGGTCCCAAAGCTACAGAGGAAACCCTGTCTCGAAAAACAAAACAAAACAAAACAAAACAAAACAAAACAAAAAACAAGGACTAGAGAGATGGCTCAGTCGTTAAGAGCACTGCCTGATCGTCTAAAGGTCCTGAGTTCAATTCCTAGCAACCACATGGTGGCTCACAACCATCTGTAATGGGGTCTGGTGCCCTCTTCTGGCCTGCAGGCCATGTAGGCAGAATACTGTATGCACAATAAATAAATAAATCTTTAAAAAGAAACAAAAACAAAAAGAAAGAAAGAAAGAAAGAAAGAAAGAAAGAGAGAGGCTGGCAGACCTGCTCAGCAAACAGAAGTGCTTGTTGTACAGAACTCAACCTCGTTTGATCCCTAGATTTCATGATGGAAGGCACAAACAAACCCTGAGAATGACCTCTGACCTCCACACCTCATGCTATGACACATGTACAATTGAAACACAAAAAATAACAATGAAAAAATATACAGGATTGTGTTTTCTGTCCAGGGTAATGGGTAGGCCTCCGGAATAATATCCCAACTATTTCCTGTGAAATAACCCAGATTGGGTGTGGGGAATCTTGGGAGGCCTGGTGGAAGGGTTGAACTGTGGGCAAGGGAACACATTTGAGAAGGTGGACAACGCGTGGCCTTCGTGTGAGGACTGCACAATTCCAGGGTCAGAGTTCCTGCCTGCTATCTGCTGCCTCTTTGGTTCACTAGGCCCCTGGCATGCTGTCCAAGGCTGTGTCCATGAGCGGCATCAATTTCCTCTTGGACTGCTTAGATCCAGATGGTAAGTAAAAGTGGAACTCAAACCACTGTGGCCCAGCAGTGCCCAGAAGTGCCCAGCAGTGCCCAGCAGTCCCCAGCAGTGCCCAGCAGAGCAGGCTGTTCTCAGTCTCCATCACCTGCATTGTATGTAGTTACATACCCTTGGGGTTCCAAAAATTCCTTCAAGTGAGGGTTCTTATTCAGGACATCAGTGTCCCTGAGACTGTCCTGCCTGCCAACGAGGGGGACACAAGATACAAGCAGTCTTTCCAGGCTCCCCATCACTAGAAATGGGGGACAGTTTCTAGAAGTGCACTTCTGTTCTGAGGATGGCACATGCAGGGCCTGGCAAGATGCCTCACTGGGTCAAGGTGCTTCCCCCTAAGTCTAACAACTTGAGTTCAATCCCTGGGAAGGAGAAATGTCTGACCTCCACATGCCTGCCCCCACTCCACATACTCACAAATAACTGAACAAAGAGTAAAAAATGGAGTTTCGGGCAGCTCCATGCCGAGCTTCGGCCTCTCCGTTTACCAGAGGGAATGAAGCCTTTGGTCCAGCTAGTTCTTCTCTTCAGCTCCTTCTCAAGTTGTTCAGCTGCGCTCTCCTCAGACCCCGCCCTCTGTCCCTGCTCCCCTGTGGCCACCCTCAGGAATGGCGTCACAGGCACCTGCAGCCTGGGAACCTGATCCAGGTGGAGGGGGTTGGGAAGGCAGCCTGGGTGCCTTTGTCTGGCTTTTCCTAAACGCGTCTCTTCCTTGTGCATTAGCAGGTAACTCGTTCCGGTCCTCTGCCACAGACCTCAGCAAATGGTGAGTTTCGGGGATTCTGAGCCCATCAAAGGCCTAGATGTAGGAGTGATGGGTGTGGCCATGGATTTTGTAGCCTTAAAATTCCCCATTGTCCCCATGATGCTTCTGAGGAGGCCTTCAAATAGCCATCTCCCCGAGCGAGAGAAAAGGAGTAGGAGCCAAACCCTAAGGAATCTAACAAACAGCAAAGAGAGAGAGAGAGAGAGAGAGAGAGAGAGAGAGAGAGAGAGAGAGATTTGCTTGGTGCTGTCTGTGACACGAAGCTGCTGAGTGGCCTGGCCACCGGGGTGAGCTGTGGATGGCAGATAACCGCTGAAGGAAAGTAACTCGAAGGAGCGCTAGCTGAGGGCTGTAGAATTCCCAGCAGAGCGGCCTGGAGTGGAGCCTAGAGATGGAGATGGGTGCTGGATATTTCAAGAACTATACAAATAAGCATGCAAAATCACCACCTGTTTCTCCCGCCTGTGTGGCCAAAGCCTTGTTAGATGGGGCAGCTCACTCAGTGTGCCTGTGTGAGCAACACATGGGCCCTTTAAGAACTGGGCTCTGATTTGTGATCCTGAAATTCTCTAGCTGACACAACCTCCTGGCTCTGGTCAGGATTAGCTCATGGGATGGGCTGATGAAATCCCAGGAAATCCAGTTCTTATTGGCTTTAGGCCCAGGGGCTTTTTCCAAACAGCAGAGGGTCTACACAGGGCTCTTGTTCTGAGAGGGGGAAATGCCCCTCAAGGGCCTTCTCTCCAACCACATCTGATGGAGAACAGTTTGAGAGGGACTGGGCCCTCCCATCTCCAGCTGGAGAGGAAGAGGGTGGCTGCCTTTATCTGGGAGGAGTCTGGAGTTTCCTCATAAATAGGGGAGTCTGGAAGCTCGAGCATCCTGACCCAGAAGAGGTAGGAGGTGGGAACCGGGGAGTGTGTTTCCAGATTTCTACCTCAATGGCATGGGCCACCTGCCATCCCTGTGGTCGATTTTCTTTCCCAGTTCCCTCTCCTCACCTCTTCCCTGTCTTTTTGCAGTGGTAACCAGCTGGAAGAAGACTCAGGGGCCTGGGCAGGCTCCTCCCTGCGACGGACCTTCAGTTTCCTCTTGGGCATGACAGGCAAGGCCAAGGTAGGAGGCAGTCCAGGAAATAGGAGGTATAGCTCTGCTGACCTCCTCACTTCTCTTCCTCCCCCATGTCTCAGCAGGTCCAGGGCTCTCATTTTAAGAGAACACATGATGTGCCTTCAAAGCTCTGAGTGTCCCAGTAAATCGGCCTTTCTCTGTTTCCCTCCCCTCTAGCTGAGCAGACAGCTGCTGCAGACAACTTGGAGAGAAATAGGGCCGTGAGCTGAGGAATGGCCTAAGGCTCCTTTACTTCAGGCCACCCATAGCTAAGATGGGCAGCGGGAGTCTTGCCCATCGGACACAAGAATGATAATTACAGCAACGCCTTTTGCTTATTCATAGCGTGTTAGCGTTTTCAAAGTGCTCACACACTCATAATTTTATGGGTGGATACAGCAACCGAAGGAGTTGAACTAAGACCACAGGCAGAGTGGGCGCCAGGGAGGGGTGTGATTGTGTGGCACATGTGTGGCCGCGGGACACCAGGAAGCGAAGGTGTCCGGCTCCGGCTCTGCCTTGGTCGGTACCCTTGACTCTGGTGAGGCAGGGAGCTTTGACTGCAACCTGCCTGAATTGTCCGTTTTTTTCTTTCTTCTTTCTTTTCCTTTTTTCTTTCTTTCTTTCTTTTTTTTTCAAGACAGGGTTTTTCTGTATAGCTTTGGAGCCTGTCCTGGAACTCGCCCTGTAGAACAGGCTGGCCTCGAACTTACATAGATCTACATGTCTCTGCCTCCTGAGTGCTGGGATTAAAGGCGTGCGCCATCACCACCTGGCTCCATTTTCTTTCTTTTTAAACTTCTCGTTGTTTTGAAATAAGGTCTAACTCTGTGGCTCAGACCCCCCTGGAACTCACTATGTAGGCCAGGCAGCCTCAACCGTGACTTTCCTCCCATCTCGGCCTCCAGAAGGCTGAGATTCTGGATTTTAGGCAGGAGACACCACACATGGCCATTGTTTATATTTATTTATCTTTGAGACAGGGTTTCATATAGGCCAGGTGGGCCTTAAATTGTATATCTGAGGATGACCCTGAACTCTTGATCCTCTGTGTCTATCTCAAGAGCTGGGACCCCAAGCATCCACCACTACACCTACCTGCGGTGCCTGCCTCCCTCCCTCCCTCCTTCCCTCCCTCCCTTTTTTCCTTCCTTCTCTCCTCTCCTTCTCCTTTTCCTTCTTTGGCAGTTACTCCTCAGTCCTACAGCCTGGTTGGCCTTCATTATCCTGCCTCCAGCCTTCTGATTCTGAGCTCCAGGCTCGCAGGCTCCCTCTCCTTTTCCACTAGTGTGCATGTGCTTTCCAACCTGAGGTGGCCTCTGGTCACTGAGGGGAGCTTGAAGGACACACCATCCTATTCGGCTGGCAGAACCATGGGTCACTCCAGTCAGGTTGTTACCATGGTAGCCAAGTGCAAAGCAGGGTTCTTCCGGGGGCCAGACTCTGAGGGCAGGATTTCCTCAGCTGGGCAGGCAAGGGAGTGATGGAAGCAGATCCGTTGCTAGGACCTTCTTCCCAGAGAGGGAGTTGAAGGTGATGAAGAGGAGACATGAGAGGACATATCACAATCTTTTTTTATATATAATTTATTTTTATTTCATGTATATTGGCGCTTTGCCTGCATGTATGTCCGTGTGAGCTGTAACATCTTGGAGTTACAGACAGCTGTTAGCTGCTTTGTGATACCAGGGCTGCATGTTACTAGGGATGGAGAGGAGGAGGTAGCCTGTTCCTCCCCACTTGACTGGCATCCCACTTTTGTAGAGCTTTTTAGGATGGCTGTGGCAGAGACAGGCGATGGCTACACATTAATCACCATTTCACAGACAAGAGAACCTAGGAGCTGGGTCACTTAGGACCTCAGCTTGCTTGAGGAGCAGCACTCAAGAAACCTGTGACTGAACCCAAAGCCTTCCTCCACCAGCTCTTGCTGGGAAGCCACTGTGGTCATGTATGCCTTAGTCATCCCCAAGTCATGTCTAAGGCCCAAACTAATCAGCAGAAAGGTCGATTTGTGGACAGTGTGTCTTGAGTCTAGACAGCTCGAGGCACTCTTGGTTCCTCCAATGGCCCTTCGGAAACCAGACCCTTCCCTCCCTTCCTAGCTGGCAATAGGAATGGTACTTTTTTCTTTTCTTTTCTTTCTTTTTTTTTTAAGTTAAATGGTTCAACGAGGGCTTTGGCTACTTTTAGATTTTGGCAGAGGGTTTCTTTTTTTTTTTTTCTATATAAAAACAATTTCTGAAAGGCTTCACTGGACAGGATCACATGGGCTGGAATGAAAGGGCTTGGGAAAAGGGAGGACCCAGGAGTAAGGAAAACATTCATTGTTCCTGAGGGTGCAGAAACCAGAAACTGAGTCAAGCTGAGGACATAACTCATTAAATACAGGAGGTTAAGGTTTGGTTTTCAGAGCTCAGAATCGGGTAGCAGTGGTGAGAATGGGTGGGATGGGAAAACACAGTAAAAGGCTTGGGGGTCAGACGTTCCATGTGGACTTTATATACTGGCCAGTCCCTCAAAGAGTCTTGGGGTCAAATCCTAGATTTTTGCTCACTCAGGGTTTGACTTAACAACACTTTCTGGCCCGGGCCTTGGAGAAAAGTGATGTTCCAGACTAACAGAGGTCTCTGAGACCCCAGTGGTAAAGACAGGCAGCTAGGAGTCTGTTTTTAAAGTTAATACATTTCTTAGCATGACTGGTCTCTTAGAGGAGCGCCAGTCTGGAGTCCCAGAGTCAGATGCTCCTAAGGCTGTCCTTAGGCTTCCTTTAGAGGAAGCAGAATTGCCTGGGAAAGTCCTTTCTGCTTCTAGCTAGCCTGGCCTGGGCTTAGCTCCCCCCCCCCCCCCCCCCCCCCCCGGCCTTTACTATAAAAGGATCTTAGCAGGAGAATGGGTGCAGAAGGTGAGGGAGTTGCTACGCAGGGGATAGGTCAGAGGAATGTGTAGCGTGGTTCAGGGGTGAGGAGCCCAACCAGCACAGCCAAGGTTGAGGCAGTGGAGCCCAAAATAGAGATGGAGGCTAAAACTGGCACCACGAGAGTGCCAGTGCCGAGTTGGGCTGGAAACCTGCAGCTCAGCAGCGTTCTGTCTGGGTAGGCTACTGAGAAGGCCTGGAAGCTAGTGGTCGTGGGCGGGGCCTCATTCCCTTCCCTGGTCTCCATCTCACCACACACCTTTTGGGACTAGATTAGGCAGGATCCTGAAATTTCTACAAAGTTTTGTCCCAGGGTGCTCTGGTTTTTACAGGGCAGTGGGAGACCTTGAAAGTGGAAACAGACTGGAGAAAGAATTTCCCCGGTGGCAGGAAACTCAGGTTGACGCAAAAGGTCCAAAGAGATGAAAAGCCACCCACACTCCTTAGCAAACTCCAGCTACTTCCTGACCAGGGCAGGTTGTGTCGAGTCTTCCAGGTCTTGTTGAATTGGCAGCGGCAGGAACTGGTGTCCAGACACAAGGAAGGATTTCCTCAGCCTCGGGAAAGGTGCAGACTTCTCACTTCACTGCCAAAGTGGTTGGCAGAGGTGGTGCTGGGAATGACGTCGGAGTGTGGTCCCAGAGGTGTGAGAAGCTTGCGGTGGTGGTGCGGAACCCTCTCCTGTGATCTTTGAAAATGGCTCCTCACTTTTTTTTTGGGGGGGGGGGAGGGAGTGAAATTTACTGGTGCAGCTTCTAGTTCCCTTTTGATTTCCTCCTCCCTCTGGTCACACCAGTCCTCAACTGTAAAAAAGATCTGTGTACTCAAGTCTGTTTGATAGGCCCTTAAGGCTGGTTCCCCCAGCGGCTGACGAGGTAAGCGACAGAATCTTCCAACCGGAGGGTCTTTTAAGAGTGAAGTTACTCGGAATGGGTACCAGTGTTTTTTTAGGGAGAGGCGAACTAAGAAGGGTCGCTGAGGTCAGAGCATGTCCCTAAGCGCTAAAGGGAAAAGGCAGAGGACGCCTCGAACCTATCCAAGGACCTTGTCCTCCAGCCCATAGCCACACTAACCCTGGCGTCCCGTCCGGTGCGCGGGTACCCCGCCCTGCCTCCGCTCCGCCTCCCCCCTTCCTGAGCCCGGGTGAGGGAGGAGACTAGGGTTTGAGGAACTGGCGCTGGGTGCCGGGGCTAGGGGACTCAGACTTCCTGTCCCTAAGGCCGACGCGTACGGCCGGACCCCTCCCCCGCCGGAGCTGGACGCCCGGGTCCGCAGCGTCCGACCGCGGCTCACGTTGGATTATGTCTCGGATCGAATCCCTCACGCGCGCGCGGATCGACCGGAGCAAAGAGCTGGCGACCAAGGTGGGCTGGCTCTGCGACCGAGCGCCCTGCCGACCTCGGGCCTCCACCCCGCGCCCCATCTCCCCCCGCCGCCCGCTCTGGTGAGCGGGAGTCAGCGCGCAGCGGCCGGACGGGGTGGGTGGGGCTGCGAGCGCGTGGGGAGGGGGCTGGGGGACCGCGACGTGACCCGCGTCTCCAGCACCCGCGCAGCTTCTGTGCTGGCTTCCAGGAGAGCGGAGCTGGGTCATCAGTGGTTCGGCGGGACCGAGTGTTTTGGGCCGCTCGGAAGAAAGTTGGTTTGGTAAGGGACCGGGCGGGAAAAGGGGGTCGTGCGTGTCGGGCTCCTAGGGGCGACGCTGTTGGGTATCCCTTTCCGCGCCCCAGTTCCGCCTGGTTGCTCGCGGCGGTGCCCCCCAGCGAAGGCTCGGTCGTTTCCCCCTTTGTCCCCACCAGCGGTTGAAGGGGGCGGGAGGGGGTGGTTTCCCAGCTCCCTCCCCCACCTTCCCGCCCCTCCAAGACAAAAGTCAGCTCCTCCTCTTCTCGCCGATGGACTTTCCAGCTGTGATTCAGTTCTTGCCTGGGGTGGGCGGGTGGCTGGGGTCAGGACAGCAAGCGACAGCCCATTTCCCCCGCCAGGCCAGGCCGACTCCCTCAGGTGAAGGGAGCTTGCCTTTGTGTAGCTGGGATGCCTTCTTCCATCCAGAGCGCCGAGGTGTCTGAACCCAGAGTAATTCCCACCCTTAATC